AAAGCACACCAAAATAAAGGCCCCTCGCTGGCAGCCAGCGTATGATGACAGAGGCTAAGCCTGGCCATGGCCTCCAGACCCTACAGGGGATGACGCTGGCCAGGCAGGTCTCGGCAGTGGATGGGATCCTTGTGTTGTCATTCTGAGCTCTAACTGAATCCCCTTCTATCCGATGGCAGTGCCTGATCTTCACGCCCTAGGAAGGGGTTTCCACCTTTCCAGCACTCCTGAAACACGCACTCCAGGAGCCTTTGGGCTGGTTCAGGATCACCGCGGGGAAACCCTATCTGAGCCAGCAAAAGGAATGCAAATCAAGGCTCTTTCTCAGCACAAGAACACACTCCAAGGAAAGGCTCTGGAATGGATCCTGATGACTTCCATATTATTTCCAGTAAATTTTGTGCTGATTCTTGGCACAAACACCGGAAATGAATAGGCTAGGCAGGAATGTAAATAAAGTGAAACATTGGGATTTAATCTAATCTATAATTATAGTATCTGTGGCGCAGGGAAGAAGTTGGTGCGTTTGCACTGCAGCTCCATTGAGGAGCTGGAGGGGGTTTTCATTTCCCTTTCCAAAATTTCTCTTGTTGGCTGAGGGATATTTGGTGTCTCCCCAAGTATCTGAAACGAACGTGCTGGGCTGGCAAAGCTGCTTTCCGGCAGCCGATCAGGTACAGCTCAGCAAAGAGGCATCCCCTGGCACTCGGGGAATCACGGGGTGAGACGCTGAGATGGATGAGCTAGTGAGATGGATGAGCTGGGCTGAAGCCTCAGGGAGGCCGCGTGATGCACAGGGGAATCTCCTATCTCCGCAGCAAAAAGATCGGGTGGATTTGTAGGGTGCCAAGCCATATAAGGGCCACAAGCAATGTCAGCTCAGTCCTCCATGCTGAGTTTGACCTCTGAGACAAGCCAGAGCTCTTTATCTTGACTGATGCTTGGTGCATCACCAGTTGCCTGTCACGGCATGGTGCTCCCAAGCTCCCAAACCATCAGTCTGATCGGCGTTAGCTGCTGTCCGGACTGGCTCGTCCATGCAAGACGAGCACTTAACAGACACGTAGGCATCTCTCCCTTTGCCTTCCTCACCCCATCCTCTTCCAGATCCACCCGGGAGGAAGCTTGACAGACTGCTCTGGTCTAGCTGACCTCGGGGGAGAACAATCCCCTCTCCTGTGACGCATTTTGCAATTACAAGACTTCTGTTTTTTAAGAGCTTAAACCAAACTTGACAGTCTTCAAGGACCATCCTCAGCGTCCCTGTGCGCGTGCACGCGAGCACATTCACATGACTGCGGCGTGGATCCTCACGCACGGGCACCCGTGTCTGACAGAGCGGCAGGAGCGTCCACGTGAACCTATGGAGCACACGCGTGTGTTGACATGAACTGCTCTCCCTCTGAAAACCCTCTGTGCGGGGACCAGCATCTCAACCCCCACGGACTACATGGAGGGGAAAGAAAAGGGCTGACAGGCAACATATTTTCGTCAGACTGAAATTGCAAAGGACAAAGAAATTAGTTCTCCTTTTGTTAGTTTACGTTTTGAAATTACAGAAGTCTCAAAAGCAAAGGAATCAATCAGACTTTGTTTATTTGTTTGCTTGTAGAGCATTTTTTGGTTTTGTTTTTCATACTTCAGCCCAGCTTTGATCTCAGGCTGGTAATACTCCAAACGAATGGTCAACAGCAGAGTGTAACTGCCGTAGGTACTACAGAAGGGACAGAGCGTCTGACATGTTTCCAGAGCAGAAGAGACTTCCATGATCTCACAGTCCCCTCTCTTGGTTTACGTGACACCCTCAAGACTACTGAACACGTAAAAGCATTTGCTTTTGAAGACCTCTGATGCTGCAGACTCTGTGTGCTCCCCTAACAGCCTGGAGCAAAGCGCAGGTCCCTGCCGAGTGGCTAAAATCAGGATTGTACCCAGGCCAGAGCCTTCCACGATAGCTGTTTTTCCACAGAAACAAATGAAACAAGCAGCAGAAATTCAATTTAAGAAATGACCCCGTGCCCACGTTTCTGTTGTTGTTACGTCTGTGCGGGCTCAGAACAGAGTGTTAGCCTCACATTTCACTGTTCTGGCTTCCTTCACGCTGTGTTGCAACTGTACGGACATCTGAACAGAGGAATACTGAACGTGTGTGCCTGTGCAGCTAAGAAGGCGCAGATCCTAAGTAAACACGTGCTGGTGAGGTCCCAGGTAGGAGCAAACACACGTGTGTGTGTGTGTGCTGGACATGCATGCACCCACGGCAACGCATGCGACCACGCTGAGCAGCAGGTCCCCGCAGCAGCAGATGCCGAGGAGGGCGTGCTGTGGTGTGTGTGCACACACGTTTTTTGATGGCCAGGAGCGTGGGTCCATGCCCCACAGGTGCCAACAAGTACATGTGTCCATACATGTGCGCTTCAGTGCGCACAGCCCTGGGAACGGCGTGCCAAGCCCATCAGCTGCGGGACGGAGCCAACACTGTGCGTCAGCCCAGGGCCTGGCCCCGCAGAAGGACGAGGTCCAAAGCTCTGTGATGCCAGGGGATTGCTGCCTGCAGCCATGGCTCACCACAAACAGTTGGTGTCCCGCACCCAGAGGCACCCGCAGAGAGCAGGAGCCCCCGGACACAGGGACATCACCAACCTCTGCCTACCCCCTCCATGGCAATGTGCCTCACCACCATGAAGCACGAGCCTGGCTTTGACCAAGGGGATGACACAACCCCGGACAAAGCCTTACGCCTTCCACTCAAGGCTCTCCCAGCCCTTTGCAGACATCAGGAATTAGATCACAGAGCCCCTAAAGCGATGGGTGAGTGAAATTATCCCTGCCTGGCAGATGGGGAAGGCGATTTGGCAGCCCAGGCTGCCCAAGAGCCAGACCTTCTGGCTCCCAGCTTGGTGTGCTCACCCCAGGAGCAGCCTCCCCATCAAAACCAGCAGCTCTTCCCTCGCCCGGTGCCCCGGGCAGCCGTAACCCAACGGCTGAGAGCTCACAACCAGCTGATTTTATGGGTTATTAGCAAGCTCTGCGGTTGCTCCAGCCTCTCCCTGGCACCTTGTCAGAGCAGCCCAGTTCCCAGAGATATTAATAATTATATTTATGTGTTACATATATTTAACAGGAAAACATTTAGAATTATTAAATGGCAAGAGGTATCACTTGGGAGCCCACTCCTGGACACAGTCCTGCTCGAGAGATGTGCAGTAAAGGCTTCTCCTTATTCGGAGGCTGTCAACGTACTTAACGGGGGGGTGGTGGAGGGGGAGGCAAAGGGAAAGTATTAATCAAGATCTTTAAAAGTTCTCGCTGACAGACCATTTGCCAGCTCTCGCTTTAAATGCTTTTGTGGTCCCATAAAAAGTTTCATTACTCACTACAAAATGTGTTTTAATTATTACAGTCACTCTGACATTAAGCCCTGGGTGTTTGTCTCTTGCTTACACTGTCTCCCCTCCATCTCCTCGCCCTTTTTCTCTCTTTTTTTCTCCCTCACACTCCTGAGTCCTGCTTCCCCCCCAGGACAGAGTACGCCCTGGCTAACAAGCCAGGTTGAAAAGCCGAGACCCCCTCCAAACAATACTGAAAGAGAAGTTAATATTCAGATCCTGAAATTATCCCTTTGCTTTGGACACTAATTACTCTGCAGGATTCAAACAGAAAATCTGAACCCACGTGCTCAGAGGATACCTCCGAAGAGTCAAGGAAGTGAACGCAGCACAGGGGTAGCCAGCCACCCCTGCAGAAGTGACCAGTGGGTGGGCACATGGATTTGGTGTCTCTCTGACTTCTGTATATGCCCTACTAATGCAAAAAGCAACTCACACAACACCACCTATCTCGCTTTTGACATCTGGCTGTTTCGGTCCACCACGCCTTTGGCAGCTTGCTTCAGTCTCACGACATTAGCTCAGTTCATCCATGGGAGATGACCCCATCCCACCAGGCATGGAGCTGGGAGCCCAGCACACTGGAAGTGTGAGTTATTCCAGTGGAGTCTCCCACAGACTCCCAGTGCCTCCCGTGCCGTACTGGCAAACTCTGGGTTTCCATTTCACCAGCCGAGCCTAACGCTCCAAGCAACACAGAGAGTCTCATCGTTTGCCCAGTGTCTGGTGAAACATCGTGCTAACCACAAAGGCTAATAACAATTAAATAATTGCACTGGAGATACCCCCTGGCCCCCTCCTTACTTGTACAGACCGTCTGGTTCCAGGCACTTGAAGATGACTGAATAGAGGCTGGTTTCAGGGACGTCGCCGTGGCTCCTACCCGCTGCCACGCAGGACGTTGCAAGGCCAGAAAGCAAATCATCCGCAAAGCTCAAGGATTCTCCTGGAGAGCAAAGAAATGAGCAAGATCGAAACATCAATACAGGTGCAAAATTATTGCTGACCATTTAAAATGCACTGTAGGAACAGGACAGGCAATCAACAAGCTCTGGCTGGCTGTGGCTGGTAGGAATGGCCCCAGGTCTGGATGGAGAATATCATCTACAGACAAAGCAAGCAGCAAACACCCCTGGGCCATCAGCTGTGACAGGGAGCCACTGCAGAAACCACGGCTTGGACAGTGGCAGGGTGTGCTCGCAGAGCACACGGGCAACGCGTGGAGTCACCGCAAACACCAGACACGGGACGTCCATCCACGGACGGGCTCCAGGGCCGCAGAGAGCTGGAAGCCTGGCTAAACAGTGCTCTCCCACCCCAACTGCACCCTCAGGTCTTACAGAGGACACGGCCTTTTCCAAATATCCCCTGTCACAGTGAATTGCGTTTCTGCTAGTTAGATTATCAGGAAAGGAGACATTTTTAGAGCTTGGATGGTATTGCTCTCAATGTGTTGGGTTTTTTTTATTCAAGGAAAACCAGTAGCTTTGCATTCCCTTTCATGCACACTCTGCCTGCTCCTGCAGCTCTGACTGGAGCTCCCTCAGCTGTGCTGAAGAACACTCACCCCTTTACAAGCATTCAAAAAAAAAATATTCTAATTAAAAATATCAGAAAATTTTTTTTTTCTGGTCTTCTGGTTTGTAAAGCTTATTAAACACTTCGATCACGACCCATCTGAAACTGAAAACACTCCATTTATTAAACTTTTTGGGCACGATTCTCCACTGCCGTGCAACCTGTCTCCTTGCAGTGGGCAGGCTGTCTATCCGTTAAAGCTCATTGCACTCAATTCCCGTATTGCATCAGTGTAACTGAAGCCCAAGGTACCAAGCTGTAACAAAACCAGACCAGCTGCCCTGGTTGTGCCCCCGCTCCCACTGATGGGAATCGGAGAAGGGACCGCTGCAGCTGATAGAGTCGTGCTGGTATAAGCAAACCTGGACCCAGATTGCTGTGCCGGGCACCTTGCACATGTGTAAATGTCAAGACACCGCAGCGGAGGGAGGAGGAGAATTCCCTTCTCAGCACTTTTTTTTCTTCATTTTTCTAAAATCAAAAGTGACTGAGGACTACTGAAACGAAGCACAAGTCTAGGTTCTTGGTATAGACTGAAAGAAACAACCCAGTGGTATAACCAGCCCGGAACGTCTCGCTGTGCGACTGGATTGCCCAGGTAGAAGAAAAAATCCCCTCCTCCCCTGCCCCCCCAAACCGCATTTGCGTCTTGTCTCAAAATACACAACTCGGTAACAAATGTCCCCCTTGGCTACAGAAAAGAGCAGCAATAAATTCTTTTCCTCCCTAAAGGAATCCAAGCCTTAATTATTCATTTTAATGCTCCCAGCACGACTTGTTCTTTCCAAACTTTTTTCAGGCAGCTCTGTCACCGGTCTCCGTAGCTTAGCCCAGTCCCCAGCCCCGGGTCCGTACCAAACCCCAAGGCAACCCAACTGGCAGGTTGGATTGGCAGCGGTAAAGCCACTGCTTGGAAGTCACGAGCGCTGAACGGCCTTGAGCAAGCCCCTTAGCTCTGGGTTTATGGTTTAAATAAACAAACAAAACCCTATTGCTCATTTCCAACTTTCATTTCAATCGCTTTTCATACGATGTCAGGCTGGATCGGGGAACCCACTGCCACCAGAAGTCACTGAGAACAGACACTGCTGTGATGTACAAGCCAGATGAATCACAAACACACAATGAAGATGGAGGACCAGACTGTGTTGCTGAACTACAGTAAGAGCTTTTAAGCCTTGTCAGATCTCAGGCAACCAGCATCTGACCAGGAAGCAACTTCCCAGAGGATCATCTCATGGGTGCCTGTTGTGGGATCTCACACCTTCCTCCAGAGCACTCCGGGCTGAGAGGCAGCTAACAAGGGGTAGCAAAGAAAATAGCTGGGCAGAGAGACTGCGATGAGCAACTGGGCAAGACCAAGGGGAGATCTGGACTGGCAGTGCACAGGGAGCATCTTTCAGAGCATCTGCACCATGGGCACATGAGATGGGATGGGAGAGAAAAACACAGGGCTGAGACAGGGAGTGCAGAGGGTGGAACCAGACTTGCGGGAGACTGGAAATGGGATGGAAAATGTCATGTGCAATCACTGAATTAAAGCGTGTATTAAAATTGCACAGATATCTCTCCTTAAGGCATCCACCAACTTCTGAATTCTCTTCAGCAGGGCTTGTTACAATAGGACAAGGAGCACTAGCTTTAAACTAAGGGAGGGTAGATTTAGACTAGGTATAAGGAAGACATTTTCTACCGTAATGGTGGTGAAACACTGGCACAGGTTGCCCAGAGAAGCAGTGGAGGCCCCATCCCTGGAAAAATTCAAGGCCAGGTCTGAGCAACGTGGTCTGGTTGAAAATATCCCTGCTCACCGCAGGGGGGTTGGACTAGATGACCTCTAAAGGTCCCTTCCAACCCAAAGCATTACACAATTCTATGATCTTTCATGGTCTGTCTGGGTAGTTTTGAGGGGACAGAACAGGCTGGCAGCAAGCAATGCCCCGAAACACAGCGGCAACTGCATCACGTGATGGTCTCGTTTGCCACGGAGTCTGACCAGACCTGCCTAGGTTGTGGAGTGTGTTGCTGTCCCCCTGCGCAGGAGACAAAGCTTTCAGGGTCTGCCAACATGGTGTCACCTCGGGTTAGTCAAAACCCTACAACAAACCCTGCAATAAAATCCCTACAGCAAGAGGGTGCTTTGTGTTCAATCCTGAGCCTCTGAGGAACTTTCCCCTCTCGCTGGCCCTGCTACAATCAAAAGCAAAGAGGTTGTTAAGAAAATAGCAAAACAGATGCTAGCAAAGGTGCTGAAACCTCAGCCCCAAGGCTGGGAGTCTTTCTGCACCTGTATAAGCAGCAGCGAGATCGCTGGTGGTGCCAGACTGCAGGGACCACGCAGCAAACACGGGGTCGGGTAAGGGACGCCCCGGGGACGAACCGACGACTCAGAGCTGGCAATCCGCAGCGAACGCAGGGAGCTGCTTCTCCGTGCTCTCCCCTGGGTGAAGCAGAGCAACTCCATTTGTTCACGTCGCACACGAGAAGACTCTCCTTGTTCAGTCCGCGGTGCTCGGAGAGCAGATGAAATGAGATTTCCTAAGTCTCCCCAAAGACCAGAAAACAAGTTATTCCCTAGATTTAGACTGGGACCTTGTCAGTGAAATGCATTGAAGGAAATAGGTGCATTTGCAGGCACTGCAAGAGGACGAGGGATCACTGACATTGCCCTGCAAAGCAGAAGTGGTCCTGGGATGCTGTAGCAATGGAGGAACATGGACCTAAACGCCCAAGCCCACGGTGAGGGCTCAGTGCATGGTACTGCTCATCTGTGCTTAGGAACAAGGCACAGGAAAAGCAGGAGAGAAGACTTGCCAGGGAAATAACAAAAAGCACAAGTCCACCACACAAGCAGAGACTTAAAAAGGCCAAGCAGAGATACAGGACTCTTGGAACACATCAACAGGGCAGGCACTCAGATGGAAAAGAAGTATTTAGGCTAATGGGCAGTAATGGCAAGAGAAAGTAAATTGGATATGAATAAACGGTCTACTCCTGAGAAGGGCAAACAACCAAACTATCTTTTAAGAAGGAGTTTGATCACTTTATAAAAGGGATTATACGGATAAGTAGCTTGTGATGGAAAGCAAAGGGGCTTCTCTTTCCCGTCTGGACCTGTGTTCTTGCACAGCCCGCCAGCAAATATAAAGAAGGATTTCAGCCTCCCAAAGCAGCCCTGAAGCACAAACCTTCCAGCTTGCTGTAGTATCTTTGCTTCTGTTATTAAATTTCAGAAAGAATCCAAAGGTTCTCTGCAGAGTAAATGATAGCTAAGTAGATCATCTCTGTGGAGCAGGAGATATTTTATTGACCAGACAGCCATCTGTGTCCTTCATTAATAGTAATAAATAATTGATGTCACGCTAAATAAAGCAATAAGCTGTTACAGATATCAAAGACAAACGACCCGCTCCTGTGAGGATACCTCACCTGTGTTCACTTCTCATTAGCAAAAAATCCAGACCAGAGCTCAACATCACTCTGGTAAGTGCTGTGCACGGAGCAACATATGGTACCTGCTGCACACTGATTACAGGTAACGGAGCAATTGTGCTCAGCAAAGGGACGCTCATACTCCTAACCATACACCAAATCCCCGCAAGACTCTTCTCCCTCATTTCCACGCCACTGCCTTCCCAGGACTGGTCTGCCCCAAACCATCCAGTTCCCCAGGAAGCTTTTGAAAATCGATCTCTGCTCTACTAACACTGCCAGGAAGATGCAGCTCCCTCCAGGTAGCATTTTCCTTTTCTCCAGCGCAAACCCTTCACTACTGCCTCGTCCTCTTCCGCAGACGCGGCTGGGGAGCTTGGCAAACCTCCTCTTTTTGGTTTTGTAAACATGTATCTTATACTGATTCTGGTGGTGCAGTGAGTCAGAGCTCTCCCTAAAACAGAGGAAAATAACAGCACACTTGGAGTTTGCAGGGGGTTCAGCCCCACTTTGTGAAGCTTTTCAAACTTCTCCTGGCCACACCATGGCATAGAGGTCAAGCCACCAGCAATGGCTCTGGGACAGCCACCTGGAAACTCAGCTTGATGTCTGGTCTGAAGGAGGAGGAACCCCTCGACTCAGCTGCCTGTCTGCAAGGTTGAGTTGGCAATCTGCTCTCGAGCAAGCACATTGCTAGTGACAGGAGGCTCAGATGGGCTGGAATGGGGACTGAGGAACCAAAATGGATGGGAGCAGGCTCAGCATCCACCAGTCCCAGTCTGCCTCAGTCCTTCCATGCAACCCATGCCAGCGCCCAGCAGTTGCGGGCGGCAGGCAGGATGAATCACCTATCAACCATCCCACCAAAGACAACAAAAGCTATGGCATTGAGTTCAACCAGACTAAACAAGAGAGTGAGGCCAGGAGCCTCCAGGA